TCTATGTGTCTCTGTGTGTGTGTGTATGTGTGTGTGTCTGTGCGTGTGTGTATATATATATATATATAAAGGCTTAAACCATTTCAAAAGAACTTTAGTTATTTTATTCTTTTCATGATGAAGTATTCCAAAAATGACTTAAGTCGATTTATGGCAACAAATAATTCCTTATTACTAATCAAAACATATTTAAAGGGGGAAAGAGCCTATGGGATCTCTCTCTTGACTTTCGTACCTCCACTCATCACTCTCTCTCTCTCTTTAATCTTAAAAGACCATTCAATTTGAAGATTTTGATAGTGATTCTAACAATTCGAAAATGGAAAGACAACAATTTCTACTAGATTTTTTTTTCTCTTTCTTTTGTTAGTTAGCTCTCATGAAAATGGGTAGCTAACCTTTTTCTTTTGGGATTGTATGTTACTTGATTTATGTGTTTATAAATATTATGATCTTTTCATTATTTTGTGATTTCATTTTCATTCTTAAAGTACTTACATTTTGATCATTCGTAAATTAATTTTAAATTTTGAATTCGATTGGAATTGTTTTTTAAATTAAGACTTGAAATGAACTGTCTACTGATCCCAGTCCATAAGAATAGATCTTAAATCTGTATTTTAAAAAAAAAAATCTTAAAATCTCTTTAACTAAGGAAATCTTAAAATCTCTTTATCAAAAAATTGATATTAAGTGAATTTAATCCTAATCAAAATAGTGAAAGAGTGACCAACATATATAAAGTTTTGTTGTCCATAGATGTTGAGTGTACAAAATGATTTAAACTCTTGAGACGTGTAACACACTGTCTTAAATAACTTATTCATAGATCGATTTTTACACAAGTCAATGAAATATAACATGATTTTCTCTATACTAGACAGAGGATATAGAACTAACAAGTTTTAATTTAACCCAAAAAAGAGAAAATTCTCTAGAAATTTAATAATATAACCTGTTGTAATTTTAATTAATTTTAAATTATTAAACACTTGAAAATAATTGATTTAAATTATCATGATTAATTATAATCCAAACAATTGATATCTCCTTCTATAAATATTAAGAATTAGTAGAAGTCAAAAGTAGTCATTATTGTTCTCTTCTCTTATTCTCTAAATTTCTTTTTTTTTTCTAAATTAAAAATTTATTAATTATGCATCGTCCTGTTGTCACATGATATAATTTAGTTGGGTAAGTTTGGTAAGTGCATGATTCAACATTTCATAACTAAATTAATTTTTTCAACTTTCCTTCCCTCTTTTTTTCCTGAGGTTCTTTAATGCTAATTTAAACACCACTTTAATTGTAATGCCTGCCCAAGACCTAACACTTTTGTTTATTTTTGTATTTAAAAAATGCAGTTCAATTCGCAGGGATCATGACGATAAATCATAAAACAACAAACAAACTAAAAATATTCTTCGTTTTTAAATCCTAACCCTTTATCAATGTCCTAAGTCAACGTACGTATTACGCAATCGCCTAGGCATTCTTCTTAACATTTTGATTTTTCGAAACAACTATTTTGGGTCTTTCATGTCTGCAAAATACCTATCATCCTTTCACACACAAAATAATAAAGCGTGTTTACTGTATATTGACTGCCAAACGAACTTAGAAGAAGAGAAAATATATTTGTACCATAAAGTAAAACTAAAGATTAGGCATGGCAATGGGGCGGGTGGAGGCGGGGCGCAAATTAAAACTGCCCTGCCCCTGCTCCTGATACTCACCGGTATAAAATCTGGGTCCTCATCTCCGTTTTTAGTGGAGTTCGGGTTTTTCCGCCCTGCCCCCACTCCTGCTCCTTTTTTTTTTCTTTTTTTTTTAAATAAATATGAACAATTTTAAAAAAGTAAAAGAAAAGTAAATCCGAGCCCCCGATTTTATAAATAGAGGAAAATCTGAGTCCGAACCCGAACCCAATAAACACGGGTTTTCCCCGTCCAAATCGGGGCGGGTTCAGGCACCCACGAGAGCCGGTTAGATTGTCATGCCCAGGGACGGAGCCAGGATTTCAATACTGGGGGGCCGAGAATTGGAATGATCAAATGAGGCGCTACATTTTTTTTAAAAAAAAAAAATTCCAAAGTGATACCACATAGCAGGCCGTACCAGAAGTCCAAAAGTTGAATAAAAAAATAAATTTGGGTTATTCATTTAATTATACATATGAGTTTATATTAAAAATAGGGGGTGCCATATAGTAATATATATGTATATAAAAAAAAATTAAAATTGTTGGGGGGCCGTGGCACCCGTAGGTCCCCCCTTGGCTCCGTCCTTGGTCATGCCTACTAAAGATTAAAAATATCTATATAATTAATTGTTTATATGATATATTATACTATTGATTAATAATGCAGGCAATCAATTGTTAATATAATGCAGATTTACAATGTCTATATTCATAATTGAAATATAATTAAATAAAAATATATTAACAAGGGTAAATACAACGTCGAATTGTTAACGTGCAACATTTTTCATAACACTAATCATTATCCTAATTTTCTATAAAGGATTAGTTCCTATACATTTTCGAGTTACAAGGTAGTAATCCCTGAGACAGCAATGGGATCAAAAAATAAATACGTAGGTAGAAATTATGAAGAACAAAGTCTTATTTAAATTTTTTTTATAAATTTAATTAGTTAATTATGTATAAATAGTATAGAATATAAAATTAGTATGTAATGTTAGCTTTGACTAAAAGCATGCCAATTTTGATGAAGGCACATGATTATAGTTTTACACATCTAACATATAACATATTACCTTATTACAGTACACAAGATTCCTTTTAAATGGAAGCATGCACATTGCAGAAGTCTGGTTTACTTTGTGTGCAACACGGATCACACTAGCAGTTCA